ATTGCAGAAGCAAAATAAGGATGCATAAAATCACACCCTCTCAATTCTTCCACAAGAAATGGAGAATTAGTAGTCTCAGCATATTAAACAAGAAAGGTGGTGGCCTGCAGGACTTAGCAAATCAGACTAGTTCAGCTCAAAGATGAATTTGGTTTTAGCATTGTAATAAAAAATTAATCCTCCTTTTATGTGACAATTTTGGGTTGRTTATCTAATATAAGCAAAGTAGCAGCTCTCATCTCAGGTGCTATAATTACAGAGCTGAGCTAATCCACAGCCACTGAGATCTTTTCCAGCCTTCTATTCCARGACCAAGAGGCACAACAGATTGAATAGAGCTACAAATAGCTATAGGCTTTGTCCTGTTTTYATGCATTTATGATTTCATCTTAAAGTCAACGCTGCTATAACGTTGTTTACCGAATGTTTAATTTGCTGAACACACAGAATTCCAGCTGAAGCTAATGTGAATTGCAGGTGCTCAAACTGCTGAAAAGTAAACTGGCCTTTTGTATTTAAATGTATGTTAATAGGGATCCATCAGGTTGCTSTGCTTCCACAATGATTAAAACATCAAAGAAGTCAATAAATACATTCATAAATAAATAATTATTTGGGGAAAAAGAAAACCTCACCTCACATTACATTGTGCTTCCTGTCCTTCATCCCAGCTCTTCCCAAAGGACTTGAACAAAACTTCCTGAAGTCAGTTAAAATCTTTTTTTGGCATTTAGCAGACTTTGTGCAAGGCTCTATATTCCTGAGACATGAACAACGCTGGTCTGGGATGATCCAGCACAGGGGGAGCACCGAGGGCTGGCATGTGGCACACAAAGGGTGGCTTTCTCAGCCCAGTGTCCCAGCAGTGACCCAGAGACCCTGGCACACAGCAAAGGCTGTGGCACACAGCAAACCGGGACAGGGCTGCACAAACACRTTTGTAGGCAGGGTCTTGTTCACCCTGCCAGCTCTGCAAGGCAGCTCTTGGGCTGAGCACRAGGCTATGTTAACAGGATGTCAGGGGAGATTATGTATCATTTCTACCATTCATTTTCTTTCCTGGACTTCAGCCTAACTCTTCAGTTCTTTTCAGGACATTTCAGAAAGCATTACATAAAGTGAAAACCTCAGGCTTGCATCTAAAATCCAAAATTAAGCTGTTATTCATATCTCCTGGTCACCTTCAGATAAAGAACAAACAATGCCACTGGCCAAGACACTTGCCARCTTTTGGGGGTCATCTGGCCTTGGCTATGTGACTGAGAAACTGCTCAGGCATTAGGGCCACAAGCAAGGGAGGACCCAGAAAGAGAAAAAAAAATCTCCCCTACACATCACTGTTTAGTGTAGCAATACTATGCAATAAATTTTGTAGTTTACACAGTAACTTTACAGCCTTGTCTGTGGCAATACATCCTTCAGGCATCCCCTTTGGCTCACTCCCCTCTCCATACATCATAGAGAGAGCTACAAAACACGAGGGCAAAGGGGTGGCTGCTTCAGGACARGTTGGTAAGACTTCAAGCTTGGGAATAGGATCAGCTATATTGCCCTTTAATATTTTTTTAAAGAAGTTATTTCTATATATGTGAAAGAAACAGAAAATTAATGTAAATTCTGGCCTTTCTTGAGAACTTCCCAACATTTTTGGCCTTTCYGAGCATGAAAACTCAGCTGCTGTGCTGTGTACATCCTAGGACCAAGTGTTCACTGTGCCTCTCTACCAATGTGAAGTTGCAGACTTCTGAGAGGAAATGTTATTTATTGAATGGGCAAGAATGTATTGTGAGTCACTGTTTTTCTGCTGTCTGCATTAAACTGGAGTGAAATTGAAATCATACTTMAGACTTATTTAAATGCCTTTTCTTGGCAGGAAGAAGGGAAGTTTGGCCTCCRCACTCTGACTGGCAGCGTGCTGTTGGTTGGTAGCAAGCACTCAGCTTTACTGGGTCCTCCCTGTTGTCAACAGGACGGATCTTTTCCAACAAAAGCAACATCCTGTCAGCTACTCCTTCTTCCAGGAACCTGCCTTTCCCTCCCCTGCAATTGCTCTCTCTCTCCAGGTTCAGGCAAGCAAACAGTACTGCATGAAARCGAGACAGCTACAGAAGGAATAGCGATCAGACTTTAAATTCATGCTTCCTGTGGGCTGTATAATATTCTTCCCCATTCGTAAGGTCATAAAGAGGGAAGAAAATGCAGCCTTTGTCTTTAACTGTTTAGGAGATAAAGGGGAAAACATTTTCATGTCAGGAAGTCATAAGGAAAGAAGGGGAGATATTCTTCGGAATCTCTCCAAATATCTTACTAATATGGTTTGGGGGTGCAGCCAGAGGAAACCCAGAAAGGAAAATTGGGTTATTTGGGACAAGGAGAGAAACCAGGCAGGTAGAACAAAGACAATGCTCGGCTCCTTGCCAGCATCCTGCAACTGAGACAAGATCCCACACTTAAAGGCTCTTCTTAAGGGCATAGGATGACATATTTCCAGATGTTAGAAAACAGCTGTGTAAAAGTGGAGCATTCTGGGAAGAATGGGAAAAGGAGGAGGGAATGAGGATGGCTGCAGACAAGGTGTCAGTTTCTCATTGCAGGCTGGACTGGCAACAGTCCTTTCTTTGATGATCTCTTCTCTAGGATTCTACATTCCTCTGTCTTTAGCCCAGCAGGTTTGGAAAGACATCAGAGAGATATGATGCATCAAAAAGAGGGGAAAAACAGAGCCACTCCTGGGATGCAACAATCAGATCAATACTAAAGTCCTTCCATTAGCTCCAAGGGAGACTCAGAACCTCAGATTGTAAAGGAGAGGGAAAAGACCAGGTGTTGCCAGCCAAGAAACATGCATATGTCCCTTCATAAATGAAATATATGGGAGAGAAATTACTTTCTTTCACAAGGGGAAAGAAAAAGGCTGAAAAGCTGACCTAGAAACAGGGGATAGCACACACAATGGGGAACATGCAAGACAGCTGATGACAGCCTTAGGCATGACTTCAATACAGCCTAATAATTTAAAGGAATGGATTAGCTGAGAACATCCCATAAAGAGTGCACAATTAATACATAGGTATATTCCATAATTATAAAATACCTCTGGGCTATCCATTTTTCAATGACGTGTCTATATTAATCCTGTATGTTTTTTTCACTAAGTGATGGCTGCTACTGACTGCTAAGAATGTTCTGCTTCAGTAAACTTTGATTTCACTTGCAGTTGTGCATTTATTAGGCAAGATTATCATCATCCAAGTTTCCAGGGTTGGGAATTCATTTGAAAAATATGGTCTATTTGCATTTAATTATCACATATTTACTGAGGAAAAATATAAACAYGCCTGTTTTAGGCAAGGAATGGCGCCAGTAATGTACTGCAGACTTGGGATTGTGCTTTTTAATATAATCAAACTACTGTTATAAATAATTCACAGTTTCCACTGTGGAAAAAACCTGAATATGGATTTCCTGATAGGTTGTTGTGGGGTTTTTYAAATGTAAAAAAGAAAAAGGACATTTTACAAAATACTAAAATTACTAAGATTGTTTGTAGCACATGAGATATTGTTAAAATTCACCTTGAAAGAGGATGTAAAGGAGAAAAGAATCCTCTATATGAGAAGTAGCTACCAGCTTCAGCTGCTAAGAGAAGAAAAAARAAGAAATATATTTTTATGAGACACCAAAGCTAAACAGCCAGACAACAAGATGAGGAAATGTCAAATTAACTTTTGGGAAATAAATCCTCTGTTCAAAGTTCACATAGTTCCAGTCACTGCACAGACACTTTTTGTTGTCACCAATACAATTGACTCACAAAATGTAGACGAGGAATTCCAACTTTGCAACAGAAAGGCAGAACTATTGAACTGGTATTAGAGAAGAGAAACACATCTCATGGCATTTCAAAATTCCTGGATGAGTTATTTTCTTGTCCATCTGCTGTGGTGTCTCTGCACAGATTTTAGTGGACAGAAAGTACAAACAGCTTTTTTTCAGCAGAGGATTCTCATCCTTCCCCAGCAAGCTGAGGACTGTCATTGACACTTGCCAAGCAATCAGACAACACCAACATTCTGACTGCCCTGGGCTGGAAAAGATWGACCCTGCAGGTGGGCTGAGGGGTGGGTGTTTGCTGCTGAGCTGAGGAACAGGAACCTGGGGCAAGGGTGTGGGACTGAAGGCACGTCAGGGGCCTCATGGAGGTGACTAGAGAAAGATGAGTGGCTCTTTGAACTTCACTGGTAGCCCAGACACCAAGCTCACATGTAAACGCACTGTCAGAGACCAAAGCAAGTCTTAATGATATCTGAGATGCACAAGGCATGCTGGAGCAGCAGACCTTACCCAGGCCATGGAGAACACCTGCATTTCCTCAACCAGCAGCTGAATGCTGGGCAGGCCAGCCCAAGGTATCCCAAGCAGGGCCAGACCCCTGAGTTTCAGTGACTGAGTCCCACTCCTCAGTGGTGAGGAACAGAGGTGTGGCTTGGTGGCTGCAGAAAGGGACCCTGCAGCCAGGAGGAGCTCATATTGGGTGAGGAGAAAGGAAMCATGCTGCTATTAAACAAGGGGAAGCATCCCATGTAATGACCACTGTGGGAGTGGAACGTGACCTTCATGATAGTAAATTCAGAAGTCTGCTCGTGACACTTCCTCAGATACCAGTCATTTCAAGCTGATAGTTCCCCTCATGCAATCTCACTGAATTCCAATAARTAATTATTGCCTAAAACTTCCACTTTAAGCAAGTTTAAAGTGGGTTTATCCCTTTTTAGTTTGATTTTGAGACTCTCAATGTTTGCCTGGAAGGTATTTTAATTTTTACTGGTTTCATTTTATATTATTGAACGAACTAATATTAATTCYTGTTCCAGCTACTGCAAGAAGTATAATATTCGCTTTCATTATATTGCTCTGTAATAACTAGTTTTTACTTTTCAGCTTCCTTTTTCTTTAGATGGTGTCATTGTCAACTTTGTCACRTCTGACTTCCACAGTCTTGAACTTAAGGGTTTTGTATATCAGRTAGGATAACAATTTCTCTGCACTAGTATATTCTTTCAGCTAAATCAAAACTCAATGAGATTCTAATAGCATGAGACAGATMCAATTTTATATTTTTACTAAACATTTCAAGAACCCCTATCTTWGCCCCAAACACATTATCCCTTGCTTTTGGAATTACTTGCAAAACAATTTGCTACTTCTGAATTTGATCTCTTCTGTCTGCTTTTTTCAAAATTAAAAATTGTATGGGGTGTATATGTTGCCAAAAGCAAGTAAATTAATGCCATCAGGTAAAGATTTGTGACAAATGGAACTTCTTTCCTAGGAGGATGTTGCACAACCCTTACTTTTTCCACCTTCAATTCACCACTACAGTCAATAGGTCTTCTTAGGTGTGTAAGACTTGTTTGTATGAATAAGTACTTGTACTTATGTCCMATGAAGAAAACAGAAAAGGCTTCAGGCAATTGGCCAGCTGATTGTTGATGACTTGACATTTAKGTAACTCATTATCCCCATGAACAATAACATTTATTGTATTGAGAGTTCAGGAACTGAGTACAACAGGAACCAGCAAAAGATGACTAAAATTAAAGCTAAGCAGAAAGGAAAGCCATAATGTAGAGCTATGGCTCTTATTTAATTTCCCTTCAGAAATGAGAGGAAAAAAGGGACCATTCTTTTATCCATTCTTCTTCTCTAAAAAGAAAAAAAAGAAACCAATAACCAAAACATAAACCTCAACAACAACAACTAAACCAAAAAGCACAGATATAGACCACAGAAAGCCTGGTTTGCAGAGATGCATGTCTTGACAAATGGGCATAATTAAGAGTGTCGGATGACACCAAATGAAAACAAAACGGAAGATGAGTATGAAGTATCTCATCCCAATATCCATTAAAGAGAACAGCATCCTGAGGACTGAAATACGTCCCCCATGTACATGCATATCACAGGATTCAAAGGAAATTAGCTACAGTATCCATACAGAAAGACAGCAAGGAAAAAAAAATAAACTTTTTTTTTCCATTTTTCCTGAAAAGGTACCTAAAAGATTAATTCCTATCATCTTACTCAATAAGCAACCAAATCCTGAGAGAGCAGATGGTTATTACTTTTGTTGAACTTACTGTATACATTACTGATGCACATGACTGTGTACAACATGACAGTTTTAAAGTTTTTTAAAATCTTTAGATTTTAGTTTAGAAATTAGAAAGAAGAAATCAGTCGCCCTATAGAACACCTAAACTGAAAATCTGGTCCCAGTGAGGTCAATGCCTGGGCTTTGGTTCTCTTTAGCTGGTCCAAAATTTCCACCACAGTGCTTTCAAAAAAATCCATGTAGAACCTAGGCTTAGTTTTTCTCAATATTGATGAATGTTTGGCTAATTCACTTGTGATATTCAACTAAAAGAGTTCTCAAAAAATAACTAACTAATTAGAATTGCAAAGGAGTAAGAAGCAGAACATACTTATGTTAGCAAATCCTTTTTTCTGATTTCAGTAGTACTGTATGTAAACCCCAAAACTGYATGCTATGGACAATACTCCTAAAAACAGAGGAATCAGCCTTATTTTAATCTGGAATAGCTGATGAAGATTTAAGAAGGAGCTTTGTGCCAAAGAGTTTCTMCTTCAAAGTGTATGCTCTCTTACAGCATCTCGTCTGTGATACAGGGGAAAGAAACAAGACTGAGAAAATCAACAYACAAAAGGTTAAAATCAACAAATGTGTTCTTCCACCTGGAAAGTATCTTGGATATGTATGGTTTCATACTTAATCCCTTTACTGATGGTGGTTAGTAATTAGCAACATCCTATTCAGCTGACCAGGCAGAGAAGTCAGCACATAATTATATTGGCCAGAAAAGACAAAAAGAATCCTTCTTCTGGAATTTCTGGTTCATTCTCAGCTAGAAAAATGGTGCAAGAAATGCCTGTTCTAMAGCATTTCTCAAGTCCTGTTTAGAGATGTTCTTGGGGGAATAAAACCCCAAAACAAACAAATACTTGTGCAAAAATTAGCTACAAAAAACTCCACCCCAAACAAATAAGCTAAAATTACCTGATGTCTTTTGATCTCATTAGATTGACATTGAGTAGTTTGGGTCAATTCTTCTTTTATCAGCTTGGTTCACAGGTTCCTACCAAACATGATTTAATACAGTGTACTTACAAATTCTCTCTCTCAAAAACAGAAAAGCAAAGAAAAGCTGTTAGAATGAGCTTATTCTTACTACATGCACACCCATCCCACTTCAGCAAAGAAAAGCCTTATTGTTTAACAGATTGAGACACACTAAAGCAAAATCAAGTGACTTGCTGTCTGTTGGACAAACTATTGACTGGAACATTATAATTCATGCTGATTTCAAAAGGCCAAATCTTGCAAAACCTCAATGAAATTCTGCTATAGTGCATTCAAGTGTGATTGAATGTAATAAGAGTTGGGGATAGCTGGCCACAGCTTAAACATTTCACTTTCTTGCGGCAATTACGGAAATAAAAAATTGCCCACTCATTTCAGTTTCTGTATGACTCTCCAAATGTGGGAATAGAAGGGGGAATAATTCCCTTTCAGACTGAGTATTTTGAAGAGGAAAATTTGTGCAATAGTGGGTTTTCTCTGACAGTAATTTACTTCATCAGATCGCTGCACTCCTCAATTCATGACCCAGGAGCCACAGCACCATTCACAGGGCAGGGAGAAGTCCAGAGGGAGAAAATGTGGGGAAGGGAAGGGAAGGGAAGGGAAGGGAAGGGAAGGGAAGGGAAGGGAAGGGAAGGGCAAAATTAATTCAGATTAGGAAGATGCTGGATGACCATGGAGACTTGAGTGATTTGAATCCATTTGCTGCATTCCTCCCACCTAAATTTTTATCTTATTTTGTGTAGGCATTGGTACCATCAGTCTCCTGAGTCATACTGCCCTAGAAGCTCCTCACGTGAAAGTAAAATCTGTGCAATGAGGCATCTGCATCCTGCTCCTTTTTCACTGGTGTCTCTGCTTAGCCCTGTTTAAATGATAGGAACAACACAAAGCAGCCTGATGAWATAGCCCTTTGTCATGGAGAACTCGTTCCTTAACTAGCTGAACAGAAAAGACCACAGTATGGCCTTTGGTTTTGTCTRTATATAGAGATGTAAATAGGTAAGCATTTTCAAATTACACTTATACAGAACTATATTTTATTATATTATATAATAATTTTCATATAAAATGTGGTATTAGTTATAGGTGATATTTTCATAGATGTAACTTAATTTAAAAATRATTAATTAATAAAAATAAATAATGATGCAACATAATTTTTGTATACTGAAACTCAGCCTCAAACACAGTTATTTCTGAACACAGGTCTGGAACTTGTAAGCTATTTCCAACATGTCAAGGGCCAGAAACGGGATAAAAACAGCTTTATTCCTGAAGGTTCCTGGTATAAAATGGCCACCTAAGTGCTTTTCAAGTTGCTCTGATAATGTGCATTATTTTTATTATCTTTAATTTCTGACATTTGGGATATTTTGCAAGGAATACTGAGTTGCAAAACAGTGATGTGTATTAYTAAAACCACTAAACCTCGAAAATTTTAAAATCCACTGCTCTTAAAAAATATAATTTCTCAGAGGTCTAGAAATTACATAGAGCTTCAGTTTCCTCCTCTGTCCTTCTGTGTCATACCTGGGGTGATCAGTGAAAGTTGGCTTTGTATGTAGATGCACAAAAAAATTGCGATGGCATGGAACAAATTACATTTTTTCACTGGAAAAGTACTTGGCCAGGCCTGCATTCCTTTCAGTGGCCATATAAGCCCTCAGCAGCTGAATGAAATAAGATTACAACACAGTAGTTTGAATTGTGCTTACAACATTTCTTGGCTTTTGTAGTTCAGTTCAACTTCAGCATCAAAAATAACAAACAAGTCAGGCCTCCAAAACACACACAGGTTGTTTAAAAACTCTGAACTTCAAAAAAAAACCCACATCTGAAAATAATTTATTGCATTTCTGTCATTTTACTTCACTGTACAATTATAAGACACATAAATAAAAAAGTTTAAACAAGAGGCAAAAAAACACTCCAGAAGATGACGTCTTAAAGGAAATACTAAAACTACAAAACTTTCGTTAAAATATGAGAGAAGGCACCACAGTACAAGCTGGAAAGATGTAATGTATGAATGTATGAAATTCTTGAATGTATTGACTGGGAATTGTGCATTGCTATGGGAGGTGGGACAAGTGACAGAGTAGCAAYAAAGAAAGGGACCATGGAATATATTGAGCTGTGAGAAGGGAGAAGACAGTGCTCCTYCTTCCTCTCTTTGTCTAAATTCACTATTTAAAAAAAAAATAAATTAACATTCACTCTTCCCCTGTTTCACAACCTCCCCTTCATGAAGGCTGTTCATTCTGAGTAAGGAAGGGGGATTTCTTATAATTAACAGCTCAGTAAATGTGTATTACAATAGCCTCCAGCAAGCACTAAGGACACTTAATTTACAACAATATTCCCTTACAATAGCATTTCCTATTGCAAGAAGCATCACACTGGGTAATTAACGAGAGGGCATCATACCTCCACTTCATGAAGATACTGAGTTTGCCCTTGCAACACTTCTTTTTGTGTGAAACTATCTAAGGGCTGGGTTGGGGGTGTGTAGCAAAATGGAGTTACAGCACTTCCTCTTAGGATTCTCCTGAAGTCCACAGCCCTTCACACAATGGTGGCCACCGTGGTCTGTCAGAGATGGCTTCAGGTAAGAAGATGCTTTGAGACCCCRAACAGGGCCTTTGCAGACTGACTGCAGGCTAAGGACCCCACTGGAGAGGGAATTCTTGCTCTGCAGTGTTTGAAATCGGGTCCAAACATTGGAGATGTATCAATGTGGGTAGCTCACTAGGATGGCACAGACACCTTACTACAAGAACTTCAAGGCTATGACTATCAACACAAAAGCCTTGATCCTGGCAGTATTTCCATTACTTGTCAGGRCTGAGCATAAATAAATATATTCACAAAATGAACAACAGCAATAAACTCGACAGGACTGTGCAAAGCATCAGTGTGGATCACTAAGGATCACTGTTGACACTGTCTCAGTTTGTTTTTATAAACCATGCTTACCAAACCAGCAAATTTAAACTTCTTAAAAAACTTTATCTCATAAATATGAAAAGTATGATTATTTGCTGTGAAGTACAGTAATATTGTGTGTAATGCAATGCAGTGCTTGATACAACTAAAAATATTATTGCTTTAAAGAAAACCTTCAGAAAATATACTGTGTTTTTTATTGAACTGATATTCAAGGTATATGGGRATCATCTGAAACAACAAATAATACCTCAGTTCACCAGATTTTTATGTGGTTTTTTTAGCCAGAGCAAGACCATAGAATAAAAATTATTTGTTTTCATTTATCCTTAGTAGATTGTTTTCTGAGTCCAGTTGCTGAAGTAGATTATTATATTTTGCTTTCCTTTCAAAAGCTGGGTTAAAACCTGCTTAGGTTCTGTGAGAAATGGGTTTTGCAATATTAGGTCAGTTGCAGCTAAAGTTCATAGATAAAATTTGTTCCCTTTACACAAAAAAAACACACAAAGAATTAAATTAGAAAAGAGCAGATGCCTTGTCTGAAGAAAAGGAGGAGGCTGCTGATCTCATTAGATAGGACATACTGTACTTGATCCTGAAACTATTGAACCATTCTAACATATTTTTACTTCAGCAGTCAGAAGGACCCCAGTCCCAGGCATATCCAGACTTTATTACACTGCTGTATATAAATAGAGAGAAAAAACTTCTGTCCTCCTCCCAAAGAAATTGCACCTCAAGTTCACATTTTATTMGGATCAGCATATGAATAGATATATTCTACCTTATTTGAGTGTGTAAAATACCTGTTTGCATACATACTTACTTTATTTCCTGTGCTTAATGTCCTTTCTCAAGGCCCATGGAAACCARTGAGAATGTAAATCATTACATTTCTTTTCTTAACCTTTGTCTCAGGCTGAAAGTAGGATACAGCTSTCTTGATTTCTGGTGACTACAACTTCACCTTCTATATTTGAGCTCCATGTTTCGGTCACTGTTTTAAAAAACAAAATAGTTCTCAGGCAATGGGTGTAGGTCACCACTCATCTGATCAAATATCAGTCCTTTTTGGGATGAGATTAATCAATCTCTGGGCTCCACAGGCTGGTCAGACTGGGTCTCCAGGAACTGAGACATCCTTTCTGCAGACACCTAAAGCTCTGTGAGCTGAAACCCACCTGAGGGTGTTTAAGGCACCTAARAACTGAACTGGTTGTTTCCCTGATATTTGTCTATGCATGCACAAGGYAACACAAATTGTCAATTACAAAACCTSTRTATTTGCATGGGCAARGATTTCCCAAAAAGGTGAAGGACGYGGTGCTGCCACCTCCCATCAGCTCCCTCCCTTTCGAGCTGCAGCATTGCTTGTTGCAAATCTCCAGCCTACAGATGCACCAAACCTTTCCCAGCCCTTCTTGCTGGAGAAATGAGCCGTGTTGCTCTGAAGCAGCTGAGGAACACGTCACTGTTTCCTGTTTCAGCTTCTTCCCCAGCTTGTTGCACAGGATGGAATGGAATGGAATGGAATGGTGCCTGCCCACCCCTCCAATTCGGGACTGTTCATTTATGCAGCGGCACGCACAGCCTCATGCTCACCCGCTGGCACACAAACCTGTTCATTTCCCTCCTACCTAAGATCCCGTTCGCTGAAGAAGGACAGGGGAAAAGTTCCAAGATTTTATTTATTCRGAATACAGTTTTGCAAGAGTTGCCTGTGTAATTCGTCATGGGTGATGGGGTTGCAACATCAGGCATGAAGCAGTCAACCTGTAGAGACCCAGCTGGAAGGAATTCATGTACTGCTGCACCGCTGGCTACAGATGAACAGGCTGMTGGGATTCTGTGGCTATTTTTGTGGGAGGAGAGAGTAAAATATATCATTTCTAGGGCATAGTATGTATCAAGACCAAATCTCACAGGTGCAGTCTTTGATATGTTGCTGGTAACTATTGGCTAGGCCAGGGTAACACAAACATGGGCATACACCAAACACTTGAGCGGCAGATACTGAATGGATTTTTTCACACATCATTTTAAACCTACCATTGTACTGCTTTTCATTTCTTTTAGAGATGCATCTCCAGAACCACACTAAAAAAAAAAAAAAAAAAAAAAAAAAAAAAAAAAAAAAAAAAAAAAAAAAGAAAAAAAAAAAGAAAAAAACACTGTCACAAACCCAAAACACTCTCTAAATAGATATAAAAAAAAAAAAAAGAAAATAGATAGGGAAATTACCTTCAAAACCTGAAAATAACGTTAAAAAAAAAAAAAAAAAAGGAAAAAAAAAAGAAAAAAACACTGTCACAAACCCAAAACACTCTCTAAATAGATATGGGATGGCTTAAGCTGGAAAACCAGTGCTGATCTTCAGCTGGAAGCCAGATACCATTTTTTGTGTCCACATGTTTAAATCCCAGGAAGCAAACACATATCAAGCTGCCATCATGACACTCTTTTCATCTTTGGTTTGCAGATTAAAAAAATTAGTGTTAGATCCTTGACGAAATTGCAACATCAAATAAATATTATRTAAGGGCAGTACATAAATAGGTTATAGAAGGGCAGGATAACACCATAAAGGGAAAGTATTTGTGACTCATTTTTTCTAATTCTTTTAGGAGTTTTCCTAATGTGYAGTGCACAATTGAAATGAATGGAAACTTTAAGAAATATTCTACATAAGGCAGAGTCCAAAAATGTAGGAGGTTATGCAAGGCTAACTGTAAAAATAAGCAGACAAGTCCTCTAAAATAATATTGCAACATTTTTTTGGCTTCCATTTATTGGTTGCCATAGGATTTTTAGTCAGTGAGCAACTGCTAAACACAAGACTGCCTCATACCATAGCTTGGCTTTTAAGAGAAGAAAAACACTAACATTGTTTAATGAACACACTTGTCTGGAGAAGTACTAGCAAATGCTAGGAACTCATTTTCCTCCTGTCTAAAACCAGAGAGATTTGCAAGTGTTGTGTTTRTGATACTGTGCCCAGTTTGAATCTTCCTCTCTGACAAGAAAATCTCTCTCCCAAATAAAAAGAAACTTGTTTTTGAGGGAAGTTGTTAGAGGAGAAAGTCCAAGAGCAAACAGGTTAAAGTGCCATGTAYACAACAGAAAGGATCACAAGGCACTTTTAATGAGCTGTTTGAGTTACACCAGCTGCTTCTGGAGCCAGAGAGAACATSCACTGGTGGACACGAAAGGGAAGAAATGGAAAGTGCTTTTCTAAAGCATTCAATTTCTCTGCTGAACAGGTGGTTAAGTCTGTTCCATGTAGCACATCCTACATGGAGGGGTAACGAAGAAAATAAAATAGTGACATGCTATAAAAAGTAAATAAATGCATTTGCTCTTGGTCTTTTATCCAGTCTCCCAGTATATCTTGATGTATCAACATWCATCATTACTATTTTTATGATGCTGATTTATGCTCTCTCTGCATTTGGGTTTATTTCTGTGTTTTGTCCAGGGACTGCTAGGTGTAGAAGGTTTAAAGCAGCCATRTGTGTCTGTGACTGAGCACTTATCACATGGTCAGTTAAAAGGGTCAGGCTCCTTTGGCTGAAACTCTTCTAGGCCAACAACATTTGCAAGCTTGTTGCACAACTGACGATTTSTGAAAAGGAAAGCAGAGCATTTTCCCACATAAATTACACATGTATTTACATTTTTTTAAAGACCCAAAGGTTGACACCTAGGAAAATCTCCAGCTAAGGAGAGAATCCTGTTGTGAGATTTAGATTTTTAAAAGTTAAAGTCTTCTGGACCACCCTACATAGATGTCCATATAGATGGACACCCCACCACATCTCCATCTGTTTGTTCACAAAAGATCCTTCTTCCATAACCTCTGTCTCTCATCTGCAAGTCTTGTGTAGGTGTCTGGGATACCTGGTGTATCTCAGAGAGAACAAGACTTTTCTGTGCACGCAAACAAGTCGGGCTCTGGCAAGCAGGATTATTCCCACTTAACTTGAGACATCTATGCCTGAGCCAGTCACGCTGAGCTCCTTTTATAGTCAGCAGAGAGAAATAGAGTTGTCAACATTTAGTTGGACAAATCCTACCCCAAATTCCACTTGTGTAAGCCCATTACTTCCAGTTTCAATAGCATTAGATAGTCTGAATCTTGTCTTTGTCCTCCCTGTTGCATGTAAAGCTGGCAGTGGGTTTCTCTGCCCCTCTGYGAGGAACTTGATTTAAGAGCTGAGGCAGAATAAAGCTTGGGCTTGGCTGCAGTGACTTCACAAGTGCGGTCAATCTCTCCTGCTGTGCCCTGACAGCGTAACCTTTTCTTGTGAAAACAACCTTGGAACAAGCTTTCAAGCTGCCCTAACTATCAGAATCTTTGGTCTAGTTCTGCAGCAAGAGCATGATGATTCGACCCCAGACAACGAAGCCTACAGCCTATCCACTGACCTCCTGAAAGAAGGTCTTASCAAAATCACAGGGGATTATATCTGTTATTGATTCAGCTGACTGGAAATTCACAGTAAATTGATGGTGTCATGAAGTTGCAAAGAAGTATAGAAAAACGCAGTTTAAATACTTCTTTCCACTTCTTTGAACAATTGGCATCCAACAGCTACAACATTGGAAACATTACTTATGGATGGGAGCAGAAATATTCAGAGTCTCTTAATCCCATCTACCATTAAAAAGATGAGAAGCTTTCTACMCTTTAGAAAAGTCTGGTGTTTCTGAGATAAATAACCTTTGGATATTATACACAACACACACATTTCTCCCTTWCTTTTATGGTGTGTTCACCATGGTGGCCTCCAAATGCACTCTGAGTGACCTGGCAGCACAAACCCCATGGTAGCAAGTGTCACTTACAATTGCATTTGTCCTAAATAAAAGCAAAGTGTATTGGCAGGGTGGAAAGAGTCAGAAGATAAAACTGTTTAAACAGAATGACCAAAGGATTTTCATTTTTGTTCTGTAATTTTAGAAAACAGATTACCAAAAGTCTATGATTGCTTGCATAAAATACCCTGTATTTGCTATGGTTTTTATCATCAAGACTTATTTATAGGCAAGACTATCCAAAAACTAAAAACTTAATTCCCCAAAATTAATAACTACAGAAAATGGTGATGACACTGTTGAAAAAGAACTGTGGAAGAAGGAGTGGAGCTTGTTAAATCATGGCCTTTTTTTTAAATCAGTTGTACAATCCCAGTATGCTTGATGGGGAAAAAAAAAGGGTACAGCCTACCCTTGCTCAAATAGCATATAAGTAGAACTCAAAATACCACTTGGCCTTTGACAGGTTGGTGTGAGTATTATTCTGGAACAGCTCAGCAATATTTTTGCTACACGGGGGGTAAAGGGCATTATCTTCCTTACCTTTTCCTTACCTTTACCTGTGCAGAAAGACCACTCATAAGGGGTAAAAAAAAGGAAGGGCACAATCACTCAGCATTTCCTGCACTTTGAGGACATAAATGCAACCTTGACCTTGTCCTGGCTTTCTACACGAAGCTAAATTTATCCAGGAAAAATTTCATCCTGCAGTAAAATGTGGGTTATCCTCATGGCCTGATCAATCAGCAGGGATGAAATCAGGCAGTGTTGACTACTCCAGTTTTATCAGCCGCAGACAATAGCAAAATGTCACTGGATTTCTCTGAATCATGCATTTCATGTTGCTGATGTTCCTTTTTTAAATTAAAGACAGCACATTGCGAACTTTCTGACAAATCTCACTGCTGTCCTGAGGTTACATGAGATCACTGGTTATTCATGTTAGCAGCTCCTCAGACAGGACAAAGACTTAATAATCTACACTGTACCAAGAAAATGGATTTGTCAACATTTCTCATCAAGAAAAAGAAGATTTTTTTTTTTTCTCTGCCATAAATCCTCTGTTGCAATCAGGCTATTACTCTTCCAAGATATGTTCCTTTGACTAAATTAGAGAGTTCTTTAAAAGTAACAACTGGTAAAATATGCATGTACTTACTCATTTTGAACATCTTGATTTGATTTGCCTTGATTTGAGCTACCAAGGAGAGTAGGCATGTTATGTAATTTTTGAAGCTACGTTTATTCTAATAAAAAKTTTGTATGTAGTAAAATCCTTTTACCCTAATGCAGCTGGAGCCCTATCAGAAACTYGGTCCCCAGAAGAGCTGCAATTTTTACCCACAGATATACTCCATCTTACAGCAGCTCTAAAGGGTTTTTGCATGGATGAGACA